AACCCAGCTATGGAAGTATCCAAAGTAAATAACCCTACAAGATTGTAAACAGGGAGCCAGAGATATCAATTGACAAATGAGGACAACTATAAACCAAAAAGAGGGAAAAAACTGTGTTGTTACAGAACTTCTAGATGGTAGGGAAGTCAAGACAACTACAAGATAGAACGGACTGTTCTAAACTTGGGAAGAAAACTGTAAAGTACAGGGTAACCTCAAAGAAAAATGATAAACGTTCACATCAGAAAAGAGGACCAGTATAAATATTCAGCAAATACTAAAACAATAGCAATGAAGGAAGTGATAACACGATTCATAAACAAAACGAGCTCAGCATAGAAAATTATATGCAACAAAGAAATCGACACCATGAAAAAGCACATAACAAAAATGACAGCAACAAATTCATATTTGCCGATAATTACACATCTGGCAAGGGGCTTATCTCTAAGATTTATAGCAGAAGAGTGGATGACCAAACTATGGTACATACACATAATGGAATGCTGTGCAGCACTAAAGACTAATGTAGACTCTGCAAAACACTACATAATATGGATGAACTTGGAGGACATTATGCTGAGTGAAATAAGTCAGTCACAGAAGGATAAATATAGTGTTAGTCCATTGTTGTGGAGGGTCAAGGAAAGGTTTATATATGGAGGGAAACTTTCTTTGTTGGTTGCTAGGGGTGGGAGGGGAGGGGAGGAAACACTGCAAAAAAAATGCATTGACCCATGTCATTTTAGTTTTGTGTATTTCACTGTACATAAATTATATTTCAATAAAATACATTTTTAAAAAAGAGGTGGAGGCAGAAAAATGGTTGATGTGTGTGTGTCTTAGTTATCTAGTGTGGCTATAACAGAAATACCACAAGAGGGTAGCTTTAACAAAGAGTAATTTATTCTTTCACAGTTTAGGAGGCTAGAAGTCTGAACTCAGGGTGCCAGCTCTAGGGGAAGGCTTTCTCTCTCTGGTAGCTCTGGGGAAAGGTCCTTGTCTCCTTTCAACATCTTTGGGCTTGGTGTTCCTTAAAGATCTCCATGTGTCTTGGCATCCATCTTCCAAGTCCAGGAGGTTCACAGCACAGGGACTCTGGGTCCAAAGGATGTGCTCCACTCCTGACTTTTTCTTGGTAGTAGTAGGTCCCTCTCTCTTGGCTGGCTTCTCTCTCATTTTACCTCTTAGAAGATAAGGTGATGCAGGCCACACCCCAGGGAAACTCCCCTTACATTGGATCAAGGCTTTGACCTGATTAAGGGTGTTATATCCTACCCTAATCCCCTTACAGCAGATCAGTGCTGATCACATGAGATCACATCATGGGGAATGGTTATATCATTCATAACTGCCAAGCCACTGAAAACCATGGCCCAGCCAAGTGGACACATATTTTGGGGGGGGACACAATTCAATCTATGACAGTGTGGGTGGGGGTGTGTGTCTTGGGGAGGGTTAAGTAGCAGGATTGGGAATTAAAGAGGGGATGCAGAGCAGGGGGAATGGGCTGGGGGTTCATCTGACTCAGGTGGTGAGTTGGTGCTAGGAGGGGCTTCTCTGACTTCACCTCCTACCCCTATCCTCTGTGTATTCCACTCTAACCATACTCTCCTCCTTGATGCTTCTCAAACAGGCCAGGTATACTTCAGCCTTGAGGGCCTTGATAATCGCTGGATTCTTCCTCCAGATATCCTCATGGTTCACCTCCTCACTTTGAGGGTTCTGTTCAAACGTCACCTTGTGGAGGCCTTCCTGTGACTGCCTTGTTTAAAATTACTTCCTCTTCTCAACAAGCTTTATCCTCCTTTCCTATCACCACTTGACAGTCTTCTATATATCTTAGTTATAGTTTCTCTCTTCTATTAGAATCCTAAGTCTGTTATGATAGGAGGGATATTTGCCTGTTTGTTCACTAAGGTATCCTCAGTGTCTAGAACAGTGACTGGTACATAGTAGATGTTTAATAAATGTTTGAGAACGATAGTTAGACTGATATATATTTCTGGGGAGGGGACAATGGCTGGGTTTCCAGAGTATGTACTTTTGGAGTTTCAGTGTTGTCACCTGATTAACACTCCCTCCTGCCCCTAAAGGTGATTCAGCTATTCTCCTTCGAGCCATTGGGAGCCAAATCAGGGACCAGCTGGCTCTAACTTGGGTCCCACCTCTCCTTCGCACTTCCAAGCTGCAGCACATCCAGGTTAATTCCTCCAACTCCTGTTGATCTCCTCATATTCCTGCCCTCCCTTCCTTGTCCCCATCTGGGTACTCAGGTGTTTGGCCCCTCCCACTGATGTCCCCTGTCACACTTCATCCTGGATGCTCTTATTCTTCCCCTCCTATCCCCCAGGGCTCAGCCCCCCAGAAGCCTTTCCATGCCAGTAGGCTGGTCATGCCTGAGTTGAGTTCCAGAGGAGGTAAGTGTGAGGCTGTGGGGAGGGATATAGGTGGGCTTGGCCTTACCACGAGGGGGGAGGACTGTTCGACTCTGTGCTTGACCCTAGAGTCACGGGAGTTCCAGGGGAGTCCCCTGCTGCCACCAGCTCCCACCCAGGTGCCCCAGCCTACTGGGAGGGTGGCCTCGCTCCTAGAACACCATGCCATCCAGCTCTGCCAGCAGACAGTCCGGGACCACTCAGGGGATGAGGACTGGCTACGCCGGTCCCGCCTCCCACCCCAGGTACAGTCTAATGCATAGCTCCCTGCTGTTGAGGCTCCTGCTCACTACTGCTGCTTCCATTTTTCTCTCTCATGGGTCCTTTGCCTCGCTCCTTTCCCCACTTTGTTCCTCTCTTCCGTCATTTCCCTTCTGTGTGCCTCCCACTGTGCTCCCTGAAAGAACTGAGGCAGTGGAGTTGGAAAGACTGTGGACCTTGGAGAAGTCAATATCCCTCCTCAGAGCCTCAGTTTCCTATATGGGAAAACAGGGTAGTAATAGTCCTCTCCTCTTGGGGTAGTGGTTAGAATGACATCACATGCACCAAGTTCCTAGCATCCAGAACTGCCAGGACTTATTATCTTCCTCCCTTTTTCTCCCACCTTCTTCTTGTCCCTGTATCTCACTCTTTCTGTCTCTGCAAGTATCACTGAGGCTCATTCTTTCTGTCTCTAGATCTCTGCACTCTTTTCCTGTTACTGTCTTTCTCCTTCTGTGGTTTGGCTGCCCCTCTTTCTTGTCCCTTTTGCTCTCTTCCTGCTCTCTGTGTCCTCTTCCTCTTCCGGTTTCTTCCCTGCTCCCAGGCTGCCATTTACCCCATCTTTATTTCTCTTTCTCTTTGAAACACAAAATTAGGGAAAATTCATTCCAGTGAATCCTGTGTATCTATCACCCACCTCCAACTATAAACATTTGCCAATCTTTTTTCATCTTTTCTCTCAACTTTTTTTTTTTTGGCTGTATTATTTTAAAGCAAATCCCTAACATCATGTCATTTCAACTCTAAATACTTAAGAATGCACCTCTTAACTCATAAGGACATTCATTTTTTAACATTACTGCTAGGCCATTTTAATAACTAATGAAATTAACAATGGTTTCTCAATATCATCTAATAATGGGTTCTTAATCAGAATTACCCAGTTGTCTCAAAACTGTTTCTGTTATTCTGTCAGTCTACCTGTCTGTCTCTCTCTTGGCTTTCTCTCTTTCAGTCTTTCTGACTCTGTCCCCTTCTTTGCTTAACACCTTTGTTAACTCTCCATTTCTGCTCTGTCCCCACAAATCCTATGAGTCTCTTTGAGTTGGGAACTTCCTGCTTGCTTCTCACTCTTCTCATATCCTTTTTCAGTATGAGGAGCACATGGGTGGAGAGAAGTGTGGCTGCGAGTTAGACCCCTGTCCTCGGGAAGAGCCTAGACAAGAGGGACAAGAGAGTGGGTCAGGGGCCACTCTGAGTGGGAAAGGCTTGAGGGTAGGTGTGAGCTTTTCTGTAGCTCTTGTCAGGTGGGTTTCTTAGAGAAGGCAGGGCCTTGGGTGCCCAGCAGGCCTCTACCCTCCTGTTTTACCCTGCTCTCTGTTTCCAGGAGGATAAACGGGCACAGCAGCAGCGGCTGCAGAAACATCTGGCTGAACACCTGCGCCAGAGCTGGGGTTCACTTAGGGTCCCTCCACAAGCCCAAGACCTGGGAGAGCTGCTGCAGGCTTGGGGTGCTGGGGCCAGGAATGGTGTCCCTAAGGGCACCCACTTCACACATTCAGAGAAGTTCGCCTTCCATCTGGTTGGTGGGGCCTATGTGGAGATGGGGTGTGCTGCCACGAGCTGGGACAGGCATGGAGGGTTGCTTTATGTGCCACTACCACAGTTTTCTAAGGAGGGTGGCATAGTGGGTAAGGCATATGACTGCTAACCAGAAAGTTGGTGGTTCAAACCCACCAGCTGCTCTGTGGGAGGAAGATGAGGCAAACACCTTCCATAAAGATTTACAGCCTTGGAAGCCCAATGGGGGTCACTATGAGTTGGAATTGACTTGATGGCAGAGGGTTTGGTTTTTGGTTTTGGACCACAGCTCCCATGTTCCCTCAGGCAAGTCCTTTCCTCACTGGGAATGGGCCCCCAGAGGGCTCTCCTGGCTTCTCAGGAGACTTAGCAGACAAAGGGTGCATGGGTAGGGACCATGTAAAGATTGTAGGGGTGCTTTTATGCAACGACCGCCTTTCTCCAGGCATTTGTCTTGTACTTCCTCTGGGTATATCTTCTCTCCTTGAGTGTTCACCCATTGGGGCCTTTGTCTTTCTCAGGGCAGTTGGGCTTCAGAGATGAGGCAGGAGCTTTATGTACGGACAGTCTAGTCTGAGGTTACAGATGGTGTCTTTATCCTCATACAGTCATAGTCTGACAGTGTCAACATGAATGGGCATGGGTATGGTGCTGAGAGATTACTTGGTGGGACAGCTGAGGCTGGGCTTTGTGGGGTATGGGTTTTCCTGACAGCTATGGTGCTCCCTCCTCACTTTCCTAGGAACCCAAGGCCCAGGCAGCCCAGGCATCTGATGTGCTGCCCAGCTCCCGGCGGCCTGAACAGGTAAGCAGAGTGGGCGCTGGTTGGGGGCGGGGGAGGAGGGTGTCCAGGTCTTTGCCAGTCTACTAATTTGGCCTATAGCCTGCCTCTCACTGGCCTGTCCTCCCAGGACACATGGGCAGCTCAAGAACAGGAGCTAGAGTCCCTTTGGGAGCAGTTGGACAGAATGAACCACAACATTGAAGAGGTTGAAGCCAACATGAAGATGCTGGGAATCAGCCTTGTGCAGGTGGGGTTAGTGGGGAAAGGGCTGCTGGGCGGGGCTGGGGCCAGAAGTAGCATCTAAAGGGGTTAGAGGAACTTGAGGGGAATGAAAGGTGATCTGTAGAGGTCTGTCGATACTAGAAGTGTTTGTGGGGATAGATGAGGGACCTCTGGGAATCTTTAGGGTTGAGTGCAATCTTTAGGTATGTGGGGGTATGCAGGGTCAGGGGAACTTGTATTTCCCGAGGTTGGTAAATCTATAGGGGTTAGAGGGCCTGTGGGCCTCAGTCAGGCCTTGTAAGTGTCTGTGAGGATTGGGAGGAGTTTGAGGATCTGTCAGAATTAGAGGGGCCTGGAGGCAAGATGGATCTGTAAGGTCAGGGGCTTGTGGGAGCTTTTCAGAGGATCCTGTGTGGCTCTGTAGGGACTAGAGGGGGCCTGTGGGTACCAGTCATTATAGATCTCTCTCAATATCAGGAGGGGTTTGAAGGGCATATAGCGGGTAGAGGAGTTTGTAGTCATGTGTGAGCTATCAGGGTAGGCCAGGGTGTTCTGGGCTCAACAGGGTGATGGGATGGAGTGTGTGATGGGACTCACCCACTGACTTGGGAGTGGGACTCATGGTGTAGGTTGAGACCGAGTGTCGGCAGAGTGAGCTCAGCACAGCGGATCAAGAGCAGGCCCTGCACCTGAAGAGCCAGGCGGTGGAGTTGCTGCCCAATGGGGCTGCCAACCTTGCCAAGCTGCAGGTGGGGCTGGTGCTGGTGCTAGAGTGGGAGGATTGAAGCTGAAGGGCTTCAGACTGTGTGACATGTACCACCCACCCACCCCATGCAGCTTGTGGTAGAGAGTAGTGCCCAGCGGGTCATCCACTTGGCGGGTCAGTGGGAAAAGCACCGAGTTCCACTCCTTGCTGAGTACCGCCACCTACGGAAGCTTCAGGATCGCAAAGAGGTAGGTTGTGGGATTCTGGGGCATGGGTGGGGCAGGTTTGGTCCCTCCCTAGGCAGCCATTCCCATGCTCTGCTCACTGCCCCCTGCCTGTGGGATCTTGGACAGTTGGAATCATCTCGAAGGCTGGCAGAGATCCAGGAGCTGCACCAGAGTGTTCGGGCAGCTGCTGAAGAGGCCCGAAGGAAGGAGGAAGTCTATAAGCAGCTGGTGAGACCTGTGCGGGGATCCTAGGTGGCTGGTGCTGGGTAAGGTGTGGATTCTGGGGGAGTGCCTGCTGTGTTTCTACCTAGGTGTCAGAGCTGGAGACTCTGCCCAGAGATGTGTCCCGGCTGGCCTATACCCAGCGTATCCTGGAGATTGTGGGCAATATCCGGAAGCAGAAGGAAGAGATCACTAAGGTGTGCTGCCATGGCCATGGTGGGGGTCATGTGGGCAGACATGCCCATGGGGGAGATGTGTGAAGCAAGGCCACACAGGGTCTCACAGCCTCTGGTAGGCAGAGTTGTATAGCCACACTTTGAAGCAGAACAGCGATCCCAGCCTCCCCGATGTAGTGACACAAGCCTTGTCTGGTTGTGAGTGTGTACACATGAGTACCACAGCTGGCTGGCTGCACTGCCTGATGTGGGCTCACGGCCACCCTGGTCTCTGCCAGATCCTGTCTGACACGAAGGAGCTTCAGAAGGAAATCAACTCCCTGTCTGGGAAACTGGACCGGACATTTGCGGTGACTGATGAGCTCGTGTTCAAGGTGTGGGGCAGGCCTGGAAGGGTCCAAGGGTTGGGGTGGGACTGGACTGCTGCCTGTCCATCTGCTCCCTATCTGGATTTGGCCTGGGCTCTTTGTGAGCCTGGTGAGTATGCTGATGCCCTGTCTTGGCTTTACTCTGTAGAGGATGAAGTCAGGGGTAGGAAAGTGTGCCTTTGTGGGGCATGTAGATAGAGTGGTACTTAGGTGGGTGGGTGGGTACTGCCCACTGATACCATAGTGGTTCCCTCTGTCTGGGAGCTCTGGTAGCATAGTGCCTAAGGCACTTGCCTGCTAACCAGAAGGCTGGCAGTTTAAACCCACCAGCCACTCCTCAGAAGGAAGATGGGGCAATCTACTTCTGTAGTGATACTGCCTCAGAAATCCAAGGAGGGGTTGCTGTGAGTCAGGTCCGACTCAACGGCACATAACAACAACAACCTCTCTGTCTGGTCAGGATGCCAAGAAGGATGATGCCATTCGGAAGGCGTACAAGTATCTAGCTGCCCTGCACGAGGTGAGGGAAGAAGCCTATCTTGGGGTGGATGGGGAGGGGCTGTGAAGGGGTTAAGCCTTATGCTTCTGCTGTCCCCAGAACTGCAGCCAGCTTATCCAGACCATCGAGGACACAGGCACTATCATGCGGGAAGTTCGAGACCTTGAGGAGCAGGTGAGGCCTGGGAGTGGAAAAGAACCCAAGGCAGGCAGGGGACAGCTATTTGGATAGTTCATGCTGGGAGAGGCAGTGGAACCAGACACAGCTTACGGTGGGAGTCTCTGCCTTGCCCCTTAGTAACTGTCTACTCTGAGCCCCACCTTCTGCCACAGGGTCCTCACCCCTGCTTCAGGACCACTGGCAGTAGCTTCAGCTTGAATATGCAATGGCAAACCCTGTCATGTAGCAAAGGATGCTTTGGATAGAAGGACTGATGTGCAGACAGCCCTGGTTGGTGGAATGGAGCAGGCTAATGTTTTGAGGGGATTGTAGGGGCAGGTGAGGGGCCCAGAGTGGCTGTGGCCATCAGGAGCTGGGAAAGGGGCCCTGGATACTGAGGGGATGTGTATTCACATTGCTTAGATGGAGACAGAAATGGGCAAGAAGACCCTCAGCAACCTGGAGAAGATCCGCGAGGACTACCGAGCCCTACGTCAGGAGAACGCTGGCCTCCTAGGGCGGGTTCGTGAGGCCTGAGGAGTCCTTAGCAAGTCCTCCAAGCCTTAGATGGGGTGTTGGAGGTGGTGGCCAGTACTTGCCCTAGCTATTCTCTCTTTTTGCCGTCCAGTTCCTCCTGCTGTAGCCTTGGACCCAGACCCCTACCTACCCCCTGCCCACCTGACCCCAATCCTTATCTGGGGTGATTGTCCAGAGTATGGGAGCCAGGCTATAGTTTATTGGGTGAGAGGACTGGGGCCTTGGATCCCAAATAAATGAGGGGCCCTGTCTGTAATCTAAGCTGAGGCATGGATCGGGGACACATGGCACAGGACAAGGGTGGTGGGAGGTAGGCTGTTTGTCTGGTGGGACTTGGGAGAACTAGTGGGGTGCTGTGTGAGTGTGCATGGAGAATGAGAGATGTGCAGGTGTGTTCTCGTGGGCTGGGTTTGTGACTGAGTGCATGTGCTGGAGGCTTGTATGAGATCACACGACAGGTGTATCTGTGTGATTTTTCCATACTGGAGACTGTGAGTGCCCTGAGGCTGCTTCCAGGTGTGTTTGGGTGAGCCACTGTGTGACACAGCAGGCTGGCTGTGTGTTAATGTTTTGAGGTGTTTGAGTGTGACAGGACTGTGATCTGGTGTATGCTTGTTTGTTGGTATGACTGTGCAGCTTTGAAGTTGTCTGAGTACTGAAGCAGCCTCTTTATATTTGGGGTTTATATTGAGTTGAAGTGACAGGATTATAACCTGTGACTGTCTATGTGACTTCTCCAGCCCTGAGAGATGGTCTCTGAGAGTGACTGAGGTGGGCTATGTGTGTGGTTGATTGTGAAGGCCCAGTTTGGCTGGAGAGCCTGTCACAGGGGGTGGGGTAGGGGTTGAGGGCTGAGGCTGGTCCCCCTCTGAGCAGCCTTGGTGTAGAGGATGTGATCCAGGAGAGGCGGTCCGCTGGGAAGCAGGGTCCCTGGCAGGCAAGACAGTGGACACCTCATTTCTTGGTCCCTGTGGGAATGGCTAGGGCCTGTCACCCCTGCCCCTTCCACCCCTGATTTTGGCCCCTGTCCTTCCCTTATTCCTTGGTTTTGAGGTCAGGGGCCGGGCGTGGGGTTGGAGCACCTGCCGGGCCTCTGACTCCTCTTCTTGCGGAACTCAAACTCATCCACGGTCCACACAGCCCCCTTCTCACTTTCCACCCGCACGAAGCACTTGTGCAGGCTCAGGTTGTGGCGGATGGCATTCTGTGGAAGGAGGACCAGCCACCCAGGCAGGGGCCAGGGGTGGGGGACAACAGATGGGCAGCCATCCTCTCTGCTCAGCAGCTCCCCCGCCACTTTCCAACATGCATCCCGACCTCACCCCACCTGCACTGCAATGGGCATTCAAGGCAGTCACAACCACTGTCACCTCCGGAAGAGCTCACCTTCCAGGTGGCAGGGTGGTTTCTGAAGAAGGCAAACATGCGTGTGAACCAGCGGTAGATCTCGTTGAGTGTCCGCTGCTTTTCAGGAGCTTCCAGGATGGCCTGGGGATAGGGGGGTGTGCGGGTGAGGGAGCTGGTTCCCTAAAATCAGGGTTGAGGGAGGCATGGGATGTAATTGTGGGACAAGGGGAGAGTAGGGAGAGAGATGGTATGAAGTGAAGGATCAGGGACATGGTTACATATGGGGTAAGTTGTGGGGCTGGGAACAGTATTAAATGAGGGCTGAGGTGTGGCGTCAGGTTAAGAATTAGGGCTGGGATCAGACTCAAGGTCTGTGATGGGGTTGGAGTTGGGGCTTCCCCTCACCCCACACACAAAGTGGAGTTTATTAAAGAGGAAGGAGAGGGGAGGGGCTGGCGAGAGAGAGATGGAGAGGGGCTTTCGCCTACTGTAGCCTTCAGTCTCTCCTGGAGTTGGGGCTTTTGATGGGGGTGAGGTTTCAGGGTTTGGGAACATTAAAGGTCAGGAGTGGTGTCAAGTTGAGGATTTGGAAGGAATAAAGGGCTAGATGGAGTTAAAGGTCAGGGAGGGGGTTAAGTCAGTTGTGGGGGGTGGACTGGTAATTTAGGGGTGAGGGATGAGATAGGACTGGATGTAAAGATGGGATGATGTGTGGCATTAGGTCAGGAGTCAGAGATGGGCTTAGTTATAGAGTTATTGTATGTAGCAGGGATGTGGTTAAGTTCAGAGTCAAGAATGAGGTTGTGGGGTTAGGTTAAGGGTCAAGGCTGAGGGTTAGGTGGGAGGTGAGGCTAGAGGAGGGTCAGAGAATTTGATCAGTTTGAAATTTAGGGGTAGGATTAAGTAAAGGGTTAATGATTATGATTGTAATGAGGTTATGGGTCAGGATGGGTTTAGATTGGAGGCTCAATTCAGAGACAGAAGTGCAAAGTATGGCCTGGGGTAGGGTTAGGTTAAGGTTCAGGTTTGAGGTTAGGTGTAGGGATGGAATGAAGGTCCAAGTGGGCTCTTCTGAGGGTTCTGGGAAGGCATAAGGGAGATTCAGGTGAGGAGGCGGGGACAGAATGGAGTAAGGATAAAGGTCAGGTGTTGAAATGAAGAGGTTAGGGATGGGATCCAGCTGGGGGATGTATTGACATACCGGAGTACGTTAGGGCTGGGAACATGTATGGCGTTGGGTTGGGGTAAAGGCTGGAGTTAAAGGGTAGGGAAGGAGTTAGGGTAATACCTAGGGTGGGTTTAGGGCAAGGGGCAAAGATGGAGTTAGTTGCTGGGCTATTTTATAGGCCCAGGAGGGGATTAGGTATCAGGACCTCAGGAATGGGGTAGGTTTAGGCCCAAATTTGCCTTGCACTGGCCTGGATGGTAGTTCAGGTTGGGGTTGGGAGGCAGGCCTGGGGTGAAGTCAGCAGGGGATCAAACTTAAGGCACCAATTTGGGCTCCTTGGGGCTGGAGTTGGGTAATGCAGGAGTCCAGTGAGTCATCTGAGTGAGGCCAGGAGTTTGGGAGACAGGTTTCCCACCCATTCTCTCTCTTCCTCCTCCTTGGGCCTGAGCTGCCCTGCTTACCCAGCGGATGAGAGTGGCATAAGTGAAAGGGGGCCGCATGTTGTGGAACTTGAAGTAGTCCATGTTGTGGAAGAACTCTGTCAGAGAGTGCGGAAGGATTGGGCCTCATCCAGGACCTTCTAGATCCATCTCCCCCTACCCCATGCTCTTCAATGCAGCAGCATCCACAGGCCTGAAATCCCACCATTCCCACAGGCTCCAAAGAGCACAGTTACTGTTTGCTGAACACCTGACATAAATTCTGTCATTTACTCTGCACCACTCCCACAAAACAGAATTCCCTCCAAGGTTTAAAAGAAGCAAAGTTGCTTGCACACCAAAGGCATGTAACTGAGTCTTGAGGGCTTTGATCCTGGTTAAGTACACAGCCCAACCCTGGCTTGGAGGAGGGGGTTGGTGAGTTTGAGTGGATCCACTTGATTTTCCTGGGGGAGGAGGGAAGGAGGGTCCTTAGGGATGACTCAGCTAATTTCCTTCCTTCTGCTGGCTGGCTGAAGTAGGTGAAGCCCTGAGGGGGTGAGGCACAGCCCAGAACCTCAGAGGGAGGCAAGGGTAGGCCTAGACATTGGAGACCATAATGTGAGCTTTAAGGTTGTGGAAATCTTGAGAGGAAGCTTTTGCAGAGAGATTCTTTACTCCAATGCCATTCATTGGGATTGGGGACTCGTGGGACACTGTAAGGCACAGATGATTCTTACCTGGGAATGTGCTATTTCCATGGCTGCCCCAGAGGTGCCGCCGCACAGCAAAAAGACCACCGGGGGTCTCCCCAGGTCCAGGCCAGGTGGGGAGGGCACTGCCTGCAGTGCCTGCTGCTACAATGCAGCAAGAGCTCTTTTCGGAAGATGCCTGGGGGAGGAGGGAGCCTGGTGACCCAGAGGCTTCAACTTTTCACTTATTTTTTAATGAATGTATTTAAAATCAAGGGTGTTCGTCCCCTTCTCATTTTCAGTCTGACATGGAATCCCACAAAATAGCCTGAGCCTTATTTATTAGTGTGAGTGTGGACACTGGAGTGTATACAGCACTGATGGTGGGGCCATAAGCCTGAGACCACACTTGTGAGACTTTGAAAAGTCACCTAACTGTCCCTGGCCTCAATTTTCCTCAACTGTAAATCGGGGATGATAGTGGTGCCTACTTCACAGTGTCATGAAGACTGAATAACACCACCAAAGTGCTCAGAAACAGCACCTGGCACCCAGGGCCAGCTTTCCTGCCATGTGACCTGTGCAGTTGCACAGGGCTTTGTGCTCAGAAGGGTACCCCCACTTTGTTTAATGCTCTGCTGTTGTCTTGAACTTTGAACAAGGAGCCCCACGTTCTTGGGAACTTGGGGACAGAGGGTTTGTAAGTGGAAGGTGGCAGCTTCCCAGGTCGGGCATATTTGAAGCTGGGGTCAGGGGCTATAGATACCCAGGATCTGTGTGTGAGGGTTGGTCCCTTGCCCCCCAGCAATTTGTGCAGCCTTGGGCTTGGGGCTGCTCACCGCAGATGGAGCCTTGGTCACTGCCATCTTCCCAGCCAGGTGGGCCTGCATGGCACCCAGTTTCTCCTTCTCCAATACCAGCTGTAAAGATAGGTAGACAAGTGAGGCCTCAACCAAGCCTTTCTCTGCCACATCTTGCCCAGATTGTGGTCTTCCCCAGGAGGGCCCTGCTCCCTCCCTTTATGCCAACCCTCATCCTGGTGAGGGTAATCAGTTCACCCATCCCTCCAGCATCACCTGCTGCTCCAGAGACTGCACCATCTCCCTCTGGAGGAGACACTGTGCCCTGCCTTTCTCATCCAGGAGATGCTCTGCCTGGCAGTGCCTGGAGCGGGGGAGATTCCATGTCGATGATCATGCAAGCCTGGTCTCCCGGCTCAATATTCAGAGTGTGGAGGCTCCAGACCCTCTGGGAGGTTGCTTCTTGGAACCTCAGCCCCCTCCCTCCACCTCAGTCTCCCTCTCACACCTGTCATTCTTTTGACACATGCCACTTGGCAACTATGGTGTGCCAGGCCCTGAGCTTGTAACTTGAGCTTACTGGAGCTGATGTTGGTTTGCTGAGAGTGGGAAGAGTGTTCCAGGTGGAGGGGACAGTCTGTGAAAAGGTCTGATTTTGGAAAGGAGTAGCATACATGGAATTGCTGCTAATTGTTGGGTATGACTGGAGAAGGTGTGTGTGTGTGCGCGTGTGAGACGGGGCTGAGGAGGGGGTGTAGCAACAGCCACCATAAGGAGCTGGGACTTTGGGGCTTCAATAAAATTAGGCTGGTGTGTTGACATGAGAAGTGGCAGGGCCAAGCTGTTAGGAGTGTGAATTCTGGAGTCAGGCTGCCTGACTGGGTTCAAATCTCAGCTCTTTCACTTAGGAACTGGATGATCTTGGCCAAGACACTTAACCTGTTTGGCCTCACTTTCCTCACCTGTAAAATAGAGGTAAATAATAGTACACACTTTTATTACTGTGGTACATTACACAGATGAGAAAACTAAGGATCAGAGAAGCTAAATAAGTAATTTGTCCAAAGTCACACAGCTAGTGAGTGATGGAGCTGGGAATGGACCACAGTGTCTTAGCTTTTAGAGGAGCCCTGGTGGTACAGTGGTCAAGTGCTTTGCTACTAACTGAAAGTTTTGAACCCACCAGCTGCTTTGTGGGAGAAAGATGTGGCAGTCTGCTTCCATAAAGATTACAGCCTTGGAAACCCTATGGGGTTGCTATGAGTTGGAATCAACGACAACAGGCTTGGGCTTGTTCTCAGCTTTTACCTCTTTCATCTTACTGCCTATTGAGATGACGCCTGAGTTGAGACCTGAACTTCAGATATCCACCCCCTCAAATCAGGACCTCCTTGAACTGGGGTGGGGCTGGGCTACTCACTTGAGGAAGTCCTCCGGCTCCTCAAAGACCTTCTCACATCCGGGCCACTTGCAGACACCATTTGCCAGCAGTGGGTAGGAGCCCTGGGGCGTGGCTGAAAGGGTGCTGGAGGGAGAGAGAGTGTCAGGGAAGGGGGCAGCAGGGCGAGGGTCCTTCCCAGCCCTGCCCACTGACCTGTCCTTCCTGGGTATCCCGGAGCTCGGGAAGGTGTACAACAGCGCTGGCTCTCTGGACAGCCACTCCAGGCTGGCTACGTTGATCCCTGTTAAGTGGGGACAGGGCACCTCTGGGGGCTGTGGGCCGAGTTCTGGAGCTCAGCCCACAAGGCCTCTCATTCTGAGCTTTCCATCCTCCTGAGCTTCAAAGACCCTGACTTCTAGGGTCTCTACTGTACCAAAATTCCAAGAGTTTAGACACAGCGGTTCAAAGATTGCCATTTGCAAGTGCTGACATTTTGACTAACTTTGCAAAGATCTGTGGTTCTGTGATTTTGACATTCTGCATCTTTAAGGTTCTGAGCCTGACATTTTTTGGAGGTTGGAGTTTCCAAGACGCTGAGACTTGACCCCTCTGACCTCTTGAAGGGCCACAACTCAGAATAGCCTCCAGTTTGCTCACGTTCAGGGATTTGGAGACTTGGGGGTTCTGTGGAACTGTGGGGGTGTGGGTTGTGGTGTTACCAGGTGGCAGTCCAGGCCGGGCCTTGAGGGAGAAGACCCCGGTGGCAGCCGTGGGTGGTGGAAGGCTGATCATGGCTGGACTTTCCAGTGGGTGCACCTGCAGCATGGGGGTCCGGGCATGGGCATCCACTGTTGAGAGCTGGGGGGCATATGTGAGCTGTGGTTCAGCCTGGTTTGAGGTCCCCTCTCCACAGCTCACCCACCTGCTCCCTCCCTCATGCCCTTTCAGCGTCAGTACCTGGTGCATGAAATGTGGCCTGTCCTGGAGGAGTGCCTGCAAGTGGGGTGAGGGGCCCAGCCGTGCCCTGGAGGGTGCCACCATGACTAGAGGCACTGTGGGTAGCTGGGGAGGGGGGAGAAGGCATATGGGTGAGATGTCACCTTCATCCTCACTGTTCTACACGTCTAATTCATATATTCCTCATCACAACCCCACGATAGGTACTCTGATCATCCCCATTTTACATATATGGAAACTGAGGTTCAGAGAGGTTGAGTGACTTAAATACCACATAGCTAATAAGTGGCAGAACTGGCCTCAACCCTGTTACCTCACCTCCTTGGGGCCCAGCCCTCTGTCACATGGGGATTGGGACACATGGCTGTGTCCATAGGACCATGAGGGAGTTTCTTCTCCTGAGACAGGGATTGGAAGATTGGAGAGAGCCTTGAATCTCTGAGGCCTGGCAAGTGGGGACTTTCTTGGCTCTGTGACATCTGCATAAGTCACAGACTTGCCTGGGACCCAGAAACCACTTCCTGTGCCCCAGCTGGGCCCCCCGCCCAGTCCCACAGTAAAGGTCGGCACCTGTAGGCCCAGGTACCCCACCCTGCCTGCCCCATCCTGTACCCTGGGCCTCACCTGCAGCTGCGATGGTGGCATGGGGTTCAAGGATGATGAGGATGCATGGGCTCCGCCTCGGAGGTCTTGGCCCTGGAAGCCTTCCCCTGGGCCCCTGGCCCCCAGGAGGTCTGAAGCCTTGGGTGTAGCCCTCCAGCTGGCCGAGGGTCCCAGGGATGGGCTGAGGGCTAAGGATGGGGCTGAGGCCTTGGCTTGCCTGGGGTTGGGCATTGGGTCCTTGTCTGAAGGCGGGCTGTGGAGACATAGGAAGGAGTTACAACTGTGCTGGGGGTGGTGGGCTGTGTGCGAAATACTCAACCACCTGAACCAGATGGACACCCCTTCTGGTTGGAGCAGGCATTGGCTGGGGCATGTCCTGGAGGCTACCACAGCTCAACGCAGACCTCTGGTCATGTGTGTACGTGGACTCACATAATGGCGTCAGCAGCACAGGTAGATGTGTGACTCCACACACACTTCATGTGCAGATGGGCATGGGTCCAGCACACTGCTTGCCTGTGCACAACAGCACAGATTTGGTTTGGACATGTCTTCCAGGGGGGCAGTGGAGCCTCACCCAGGGCAGGTCCTATCTTTCCCTCCTCACTTGAGGCCTGTCTTCAAACCTCAGTGTGTGGTCCTCCAGGCACTCTGCACAGCGCAGTGCATTCCAGCCACACAGCCTCTGCTGATCCTCCTGCAGGGTGATCCTTGGCTGATCTGACTTTCTCATGGGGCATTTTACCCCACTGACTTAGGCATATCCAGGAGGGGAGGGGAGCCTGGACTCAGAACACTCATATGGCTGCTGTGAGTGGGAGAGACTCTAGGAAGGCAAGAGCAGAAGCAGGAGGGCTAGTGAAGAGGCCACTCCAAGAGTCCCAGCAAGCAGTGAATACCAGGATGGAGGCAGTGGAGATGTGAGAAATGGGTGGATCCTGGGTATATTTTGAAAGTGGAGTCAACAGAATTTGCTGGCAGCTTGGATGTGTGTGTGTGTGGAGCTCTGGTAGCGTAATGCCTAAGGCAGTTGTCTGCTAACCAGAAGGCTGGTGGTTCAAACCCACCAGCCACTCCTCGGAAGGAAGATGGGGCAATCTACTTCGGTAGTGATACTGTCTCAGAAACCCAAGGAGGGGTCGCTATGAGTCGGGTTCGACTTGATGGCACATAACAACAACAACAGCAACTTGGGTGTGGGGTGTGAGAGAAGGATGGTCAAGGTGACTTCTGGGTTTTAGCCTGTTGTTGTTATGTGCCGTTGGGTTGGACCTGACTCATAGCGACCCCTCCTTGGGTTTCCGAGGCAGTATCACTACGGAAGTAGATTGCCCAACTTCCTTCTGAGGAGTGGTTGGTGGGTTTGAACTGGCAGCCTTCTGGTTAGCAGTCAAATGCCTTAGGCACTATGCTATCAAAGGTTTTAGCCTAGGCAACTGGAAAGACAGAGCTGACATTAAGTGGAATGAGGGAAGTGGAGGGGGGCAGCAGGTTTTTTTTTGGAGGGGGAGTGAGGGTCTAGCTGTTGATCAACATGATGAATCTGGTGTTAGACTCGTAAATGGAAATGTTGAGTGGGCAGCTGAACAGAAGAGTTTGGAGTTCAGGGCAAGATTAGATTCTGATCATCTCTGGGCTCTGGCCCTATAAGGAGCCAGCATGGCAGGTGCCAGAGAAGGGGAGAGATAGGCTTTCTCTTGAGCCAGGGCTTGTGTGCTCTCTTTGACCCAGCCCCTACCAGCATTCACTCAATTCTCTACTTCTCAAGCTTGCCTCCAAGCCTTTGCTTATGTTAGTCCCCTTGCCTGTACTACCCAATTCTCCTCCTATACAGGTCATGCAATGGCTGCTCTTACATTATCCTCATCCAGAAAGTCCTCCATAATGGTGCCAGACCCCTCTGCAAAGTCCAAGAACCTTACCCTCCCCAATGGGCAGGGCCGCAGTTTCTCAGGATCCTGTAATCACAGTCTGAGAGGAAGTAAGAGCTGGAAGTACCGTCCAGTCCAAGCCCATTTAACTGAAGGAGACACCCAGGTGCAGACAGTGCCACAGTCCCTGGTGACTTGTGACCTCCACTTCTTTCTCCATGAACTGTGTGTGTGTGCATTTCACAAGCCCCTCTCTCAGAGTGCGTGTATGTGAGAAATTCCCCATGCCACCCAACACTTGGTTGGACACACAGCTGCTGACAAGCAGCCTAGGGGAGCACAAGGAGGGTTCTGGGGGAACAATTGCTTCTTCCTTTCTTTGGTGTCTCCTCAATGAGGTTGTCATCAGAGCTGTGGTGCTGAGGGAGGTGGGCGTGAGTCCATGCATCAAGTGGGGTGTGAGAATCCAAGCGTTAAACCTTCAGTCTCTCAGGTTAGAATATTACTGTGTGAGTCAGGAATCTAGGCCTATGGAGGCTCAGAACAAAGGGCTGAGAGAATGTCAGTGACCATGAGGAGACGAGTGAATGGGTGTTTCCACCACTCTGGCCTAGCTTACATGGCTGGCCTGTGGTCACTTCTGAAATTGCCTGGAGGCTTGGCAGAGCTTATAAGAGGTCTGCAAACATACCTGGAATGGCTTGACTCCGGGAAGCATAGATAAATTCTCAGAATAAAAGACCTGGATATGGTCTGTCTGGTGGGGTACTTGGAGGGCCAGGTTGGGCAGCCAGTTTCCTGCACTGTCTGTTGGGGCATCCCTTTCTGACTAGGTTTCTCAGAAGCTGCATGGGGGATGTTTCTGGGACACAGATAGTGTTCTCATATCGGGGTCTGCATCTGGGCCCTGTTGTCACAGCCCCCAACTTCCCCAGATTTTTCTGCCATTGACGTCATGGCAGCCGGATGCGCTGGGCTTCATCTGCACCAAGGAGGAAGAGAAGGGGGCAGATACCCCACCCCACAAGTTTCGTTCCGAGAATTGGCTGGCCCATCCTACAGCCAGCTTAGCCCAAATGGGTGACGTGGGTGCTGGCGGATGTGGTGAGTGACATCCATCTGTCCGTTGTAATTAGTCCTAGATCCTGTGTACCTGTAGCCCTTCTCAGGGCCATGGAGAGGCCTAAGGTTTGAAGCTTTGAGGGTGCTATGCAGGCCCTAACAGATACTGGGACTCTTGGGGTCCTCAAATGGTACAACCTTAGAACCTCAGAATCATGGAATATCATTTCTTTGATTGAAAGGACCCGAGAATCCCCAAATTACAGACTCGGTGGAGCCCATGGGTCCAACTTTTCAGTATGTGTAGAACAATGTCCCTAGTGTCCAAACTCACAGGACAGGAAGCTCATTACTTCCTAGGGCTGCCTGTCTACCAAGGCCTGTAATTGCAGCAAGCCTTCTCTCAGCCTCTCTTGCAAACTCTGTGAAGGCAGCAGGGTCAGGACCACCCTATCAAGCCTAGATCTTGTGAGGCTAGACCCTATGCTGTGGCATGGATCCTCTTGCCTGAGTCAAGGCTCAACCTGGGAGAAAGCAACATGGCAGCAGCTGGGGGGCAGCCCAGGCCTTCTACCATGCTCATGGGTGCTTGAGGGATAAACTGAGGCCAACGGTGGGGGATAGTGGCAAGTGTCCTGAGGTCTGGACTTAGGTATCAACTCTGCTATTGAATCTCTCTGAGGCTTTGGAGATCTCTCCTGACTATCTCTTGGCCACAATCTGCCCCTCTGTACACTGGTGAAGGGAGACGTTTGGAGTAGATGATGGTCAGGGCCTTCTGCTCTAAGTCTGAGTGAGTTGTTTGTTGTCTTCCGGGCTTTGAGTTAGCAACTGTCCTTCTATCCTGGGGACTGGCTGAGAGACATGGACATAGGGAGACAAAGAGAGACCTAAATAAAGAGGCAGAGAGAAGAGAGACACAGACAGTCATGAGGAGCACAGAAAAAGAGAAAATAAGAAAAAAAAGATGGAAGATAACACAGGGTGGGAGAGAAACAGACATAGAGCAAGAAACAGAGAAAAAGCATGAGAAAGATGGTGAGAAGCACTGAAATAGGAAGACAGAGAGTGAGACACACAGGGTGAAACCCATAGGAGCAGAAAGACATAGAAGTACACACAAAGAAGGAGACAGAGAATGAGAGAAAGAGACACACAGAGAATGAGACAGACAACACAGAAAGACAGTGGTACAGAGAGATGGAGATATAGTCAGTAAGGGACAAATAGAGAGGGAAGGAGAAAGAGAGAATGAATTGTCTGTGGCTGGAGGAACTGATGCTACCTGAAATAACGAAGGACAAAATGCTAGGGACACCCACAGCCAGGTACTGAATTGTACTGCAAAGCAGCAATCAGTCAATCAGTGTGAACCCTGGTACAAGAACAGACACTGAATGACAGAACAGAGTAGAAAGCTTGGACACAGACCCATGTATATATGGGAACCTAGTTTGTGATGAATATGGCATTTCAGACTGGAAGATAGTGGAGGATGGATTGTTTGATATATGTTTCTGGAATAATTAGGGGAAAAAAAGATACTGAATAATCAGTCCATTTTCCCACCAACCCTTCTTTGCCCAGTTTGAAATATTATCATCGTATATTCTAAAATAAATAAAATAGAGAAATAATAATATCAAATATTGATCTCAGGTTTATTGTGTGCCAAGTCCTGTGCTAAGCACTTAACGTGGTTAATAGATTTAATCTTCCTAACAACCCTTTGGGGCAATCCTACTTCCGTAGTGATACTGCCTCGGAAACCCAAGGAGGGGTCGCTATGAGTCGGGGACGACTCGACGGCACACAACAACAACAACAACAACAACCCTTTGAGGTGGGTACTATTATGGTATATATGAGGAAATCATCATGGTACATATGAGGAAATGGAGGCACAGAGAGGTTAAGTGTCTTGCTAAAAAATCACACAGATAGCTTGGAGGTTGGGTTTGTCCCAGACAGTCTGGCTTCCAGTACCCACACTCTGAACCTCTACAGTAAATGGAAAAAATGAAGCCATAAAAGAGACTAAAAGCCAACACAAGTGAACATTTATCTCATTTTCAAGTGGGAAAGGACTTTCTAAGCACAAAACCAGAGACAGAAACCACAGAAGAAAAGACTAACCTATATGACTACATAAAAACATCATAAACATCACAAAAGCACCATAAACAGAACAAGCAAATGATTAATCGGGGTAGGGGGGATATCTGCTGTATACATATGGCTGATGGAAGTTAATATTCTTTCCGAATAAAGATCTATGGCAAATCAATAAGAAAAGATATGAACACCCAATTAGGTAGGAGTGAGGACATGAATAGACAACTCAAAAAAAGTACAAATGGCCAATAAACGATAATCAAATAATGCAAGTTTCAACAATGCAGTAATATTTTTTCTTACCTATTTTGTTGGGAAAGGATTAAAAAATGGTAATACCCACCCAGAGTTAGCCTGAGGAGAGGGAACATAAAACGGAACAAACTTTTGGAAGAACAATATGGCAGAAAAGGGTCCGAAACTTTAAAAACGCACACATCTTTTGACCCAGCAACTCCATTTTCAGGAATCCAAGAGACTAATTTGAAGTGTTTAGGGGAAAAACTAGAAACATATCAAATGTCCAACAATTCACACTTGGCCAAACCAATCATGGTTCATGCCAATGTGTGGACAGTCTTAACAATCATGAAATTTTTAGTGATCTACAAAAATGCTACTACTAACTGAAAAAGCAGGGACAAACCCAACAGATAGTGTTATTCTAATATGACTGAAAAAATAATCATAGGTAACACTTAGTGAGTACATACTGTGTGCCAAACACTGTGCTAAGCCTGTAGAAATGAGTTCTCCCTGCCCTGAATGGCCTGCTTTTTTCTGGACATGGAGTCTGGACACATACACACACAGACACACAGAGTCCTGGGGCAGGACCTCACACCTAAATCATGGTTGACAAGGGCATGAAGTGCCTCCCAGGAGGGTCTTCTCTCATGCAATGCAAGCAGAAGTTCAGATTAAGTGCTCAGCCTAAACTGACAGTTTACAATCCTACTACCAGGCCTAAGCTGACAGTTTACAATCCTACTACCAGAGCAAACGGAGTTCATGATCATTTTTGTAAAATGTAAATGCTCTTCTCCGAGATATGCAACTCGCATTAAGTGATTGCTGGGTGGGGACGGAGGTGGGGGAGAGAAGAGAGAAAGGAAGAGACAGTTGGGAGAGAGAAGGAGGAAAGGAGATGGAGTGTGGTAAAGGTGGAGATAAAGACAGGGAGGACGGTCAGAGTGAGAGAAAGAGGGATGGAGAGTCTGAGTGAAAGAGAAACAGATGGAGACAGACAGAGGGGCAAAGAAACACAAAAAAGTAAGACAGAGTGAGCAGAGAGACAGAGGACTGGGAGACTCAAGAGAGAAGAGAGGAAGAGATGAGACAGGTGCAGTTGGACTTTCCAGTTACACCTGGACAGGGAGGCAAGTTGTTCAAATCTCTGAAATTCATAAAGATGGCACTTGATGTATTCAAAAAATCTTACTTCTCTATGTATCAATCCATTTATTTTTGCCTCTTCCCAAGCATTAAATAATTTAATGATAAGTCTTCTGATATTCATTACTACTATTAGTACTTTTAAAAAAATACCTGACCGGACCATGAACACAGTAGCTGTGCACATCTTGACTGCCCCGGAAGGCCCATGAACCCCCAATACCTACCTCACTGCCATCTCCTCCAACGGGGCCCAAATCTGGTGGGGGCAAGCAGAGGATACTCACCTTGGTGAAGTGGACTGAGAGAAAAGGATCAGCCTGGCTTGTGGGAAACTGTCACATATCAAAAACAAGTTTGCTTTTATACCGAGAAGGAAGCCACAGACCTCTCTCTTCTAATAATCCATTTTTTTTTTTCGATGAGCGAGTGTACTGATAATCACGGGGTGTGAGGGGGGGTTCTCATAGTTCTCTCTCACTCTGTTTCTCCACTTCTTGATTATGAGACTTAAACGGAAATTTTGAAATTTGGGTTTTTTCTTTGCCCTTTACGAGTCATCTGAAAATATGATTTCTTCCCCTCACCACAGAGGTGAGAGGTATCAATGAGATAACAGGGCTCATGAGAGACTCCAGTTTCTTAAACAAAAGTGTGTACAAAATTTGAAAAAAAAAAAAAAAAAAAACAGCAAGGGAAAAGAACCCAAATAAATCACAGGTGTGTCCTGGGGCCAGCAGCCACTCTGTGAGGGGCTATGTGAGGGTCTGTGGAAGAAGAGAGAAATTGAGGCCCTATGTAGTGAGGGGAAACACTAGGGAAAGAAACTGAATAGGTCTGGGTTTCTAGAGGTTTCACCCTGCTCGGAGCCTCAGTTTCCCCAGAGGTGGAATTCCTATAGTTATCCTCATTCTCACTGCCCAGATAGGAGGAACTCTAGAAGCTCCTGCCACCCATCTTTCCACAGAGGATAAGGGGGCATATACATTACTTTATGGAGGAAAAGAACAGGGAAATCCACCTCCACTCCCCACAATTCATGGAATCAAAGAGTCTTAAGTCCACCTCCACTCCCCACAATTCATGGAATCAAAGAGTCTGAGAATCACTGGCTCCCAGAATCCACTGAAAGTCACTGAGTGAGGAAAGAGAAAAAGCCTTTGCCTCATCATGTCTTAGGTTCTCAAGAACTCTGACCCAGTGGCCACTCTACTGGGAAAGTTGCAACCAGGCTTCCAGAATTAATACATCCATCCGCATGGGTCCCAGAGCCCCATGAGACCTGACCCTCTTGCAGCCAGGGACATCAAGGCCTGATGCCTCTGAGGCCCTCAGCTTTTTCAATTTTCTGCTTCAAAAAAATCCCAGTTTCCAAGAATTTGGGATTCCAAATATCTGCCATCATCCCCGTAGCTGACATTTATCTTGAACTTTCCATATGCCACAGTGCTGAACACTTTTCACAAATGACATTTAATCCTCCTCATGGCCCTGAGGTCCATCTCATCATCACTGCTGTTATTCAGAGGGGGAAAACGGAGGCACAAAGTAGTCAAGTGAAGTGCCCAAGATCACAGCGCTGTCGAGTGGGGGACCTGCCTTCCTTGGTGCCAGGCTTTGAAAGCCTCAGGTTTTTCTGAGCCAAATGGTCTTAGGTTTTAAATTCTAGGATGCCATGACTGGGAGGTTCTTGGATTTGGAGATTCCTCTGGGGCTTGAAGCTTGTGAGGCTTTAAGGTTGTCCAAGAATTGGCAATTGCGTTTCCTCATCTTGGCGAACACCCACTCCAACCAATGGTTAACACAAGAGACCAGTCCTATGGACTTTTCCTGACAGCTGATGGCTGAGACTCCCAGCCAGCCTTTGGCTCCCCAACGTTCTGCATGGCCCAGGGTTCTAGTCATCCAACGTCCACGCCAACCCTTCTGTGAGACTAGCTTCAGGCCTGGGGAAGAAAATTGAAAACAGCTTTTTATTCACATGGTACACACCTATTGGCAAAGGTCCACCCCTTCATCCCTGAGCCTGTACTTTTTTCTTCCTCTCACCTCCCAAATGCTGAAATAAAAGGGAGTCTTTTTCCTAAACTCAGACTTACTCTCCTGGAAAAGCCCAGAATGGGCCTGATGGTCTGGCTTTGTGAAAACAAGGGGAAAAAATGAATAGGGGAAAAAAAAAAGACCTAAAAAAAAAAAAATCAGCCAACAACAATTAAACAAACAAAGCAAACTTCCCTACCATTAGTTCAAAACAAAGCTTTCACTGGTGGGAGCTTCTGAGTTGGTGGGGCACTTCTCAGACCCAAGGATGGTCTATGTGTGCCGAGCAGCCAGGGGAGGCACCAAGGTTCAGATAAGATCCCCAGCTTGGGGACCTGAAGGGATCCTGTGTACAGTAGGTACTTAACAGATATTGTGGCATGTGGGTGGGATCAAGGGGAGGTATGGGGTGTGCTTATCAGGAAGAAGCCCTGGGGAGCCAACTGTAGGGATGCCTCCAAGGTTAATGACCTCATGGACTTGTGTCTGAACGCTCCTTAAACTTCCTGTATAACTATAAACCAGGCCAGCTCCAGAAGACGAGGCCCTGTTCCCTGTCCTGGGACCTGTTTCCTCCTGGGAGAGGGAGCTGTTTTTCTCTCTCAGGGTCAGAGGTGTGGACTGCATCCTTCTCATACCATTTCCAGACTGTCCCTCCCTCATTATCATTTCTTCCTTGACAGGGAGTGGCCAGAGAGGTAGGAGGAAAACTGAGTGAGGGTGGTGGTCCAAAGAATCCCAGGAGGCTACTTGAGCAGGGCCAAAGTGTAGGAGGGGCAATGGTGATGCTGTGAAAGTCAGGAGCCTTGCAGAATGAGGGCTAGGGGACAGGTGGGCAGAAAGGGGCAGTGGTTACCACTTCAATTCTATACTAGACTGTATTCTCTCTTGTGGATGGCTTTGGGGAAGGGGACTAAGAGGACTGGGAGTAGGGGACAGGGTGGGCAGGATTAAACAGAGAGGTGAGGGAGAGTCCTTAGAGAGGAACACCTTTGACAAAGATTTGAAGGAAGTAAGGGAGGGAGACATGTAGATATCTCGGTAACTCAAGAGGAAACAGCAAGTGCAAAGGTCCTCAGGTAAGGGTGTGCCTGATTTGTTCAAGGCCTACTAAGGAGGCTGGTGTGGTTAAGAATGGAGTGAGCAAGGGGGAGAGGGGTAGGAGGTGAGGTTAGAGAGGAGACTAGGGGGTTAGGCCATGCAGGACCTTATAAACCATGGTAAGGACTTTGGCTTTTATTGAGTGAGGCAGAAGCTACAGGAAGGTTCTGAGAAGAGGAGGGACAGGATTTGGCTTAGAATTTAATAGGATGCCCCTGTCTGCTTAGTGTAGAATGGAATCTAGAGGGCAAGGGTGGAAGCAGGGTACAAGTAGGAGGAGGCTACTGTGTAGTCCAAGTGGTGATGGTGCTGGCAGTGGAGAGGTGGTGAGAAGGGTTTGGATTCTGGAAATACTTTGAATGGGGAGCTGACAGAATTTGCTGATGAATGAATCCTGGGGTCAAACCAAGACACTAATAACATCTACAAAGCGTGAGCATGAATGAATCCTTGGACTGCCTAAGTTCTGTCTTGGATAAGCTCTTGTTATTTTGTGACTTTTCTGTTACTTGCAGTTGAATATATTTCTTCCTGAACTGTGATTCCATCCAGAGATCTGAAGAGGCAGAGGTCTGCAGGGGGATTGCTGTGGTAATTAAGGTTGTGTGTCAACTTCATTGGGCTGTGATTTTGAGTGGCTTGGCAGATGGATGTAGTTATTCCCCATGATGACACTGATGTCCTATAATCACTTCCATGGTGGAATCTGCTGTGAACAGCTAATTAGTTGAAGGGGAGTTGCCTTCAGGGTGTGGCCCGCTTCCAATATATATGGAGAAGCTTTGGAAAAGATATCTAGCTTTTTGGATCATGTTGGATCCTGCATTTGGTCCATCATCATCTCTAGTTCCTGGACTTGAACCAGTGGCCTATCCTGTTGCCTGCTGATCTTGAGATCGTTGCCTGTGCAGCCTGTGAGCCAACAATCTGCCATTTTACCTGCTGATCTTGGGTTTGTCAGCCTCAGCAGCCAGCAGCACGTGAACCAAGGCAAACCTCCAGCTTGCTCCAGTGGGCCTAGAAAAAGAGGCAGAGCTGAAGTCTGAGGCTGAGGAGCCTCCACCCAGCCCCTAGAGTTGGCACTCTGAACTCCGGCTTCTAGGCCACCCACCTGTGGTATTTCTGCTATAGCAGCACTACAGAACTAAGACAATCACTTCCCACCTAGGGATGCTGTGAAGGTTAGATGAGATAATAGCATGCTCAGAACCTATCATATAGTAGGTGTTCAATAAATCCATACAGGAGGGAGGGGAATGTATGAAGGGACATGTTTGGCCTGTTGTGTTGTTAGGTGCCATTGAATTGGCTCCAACTCATAATGACCTTATGTACAACAGAATGAAATGCTGCCTAGTCCTGCACCATCCTCACAATCCTTGCTATACTTGAGCCCATCATTATAGCCACTCTGTCAATCCATCTAGCTGAGGATCTTCCCCTTTTTCACTGACTCTCTACTTTACCAAACATGATATGCTTCTCCAGAGAATGGTCCCTTCTGATGACATGACCAAGGTAGGTGAGGCAAAATGTGGCCATTCTTGCTTCTAAAGAGCATTCTGGCTGTGCTTCTTCCAGAACAGATCTGTTTGTTCTTCAGGTACTCCATGGTATTTTCAGTATTCTTCGCTAACACCGTAATTCAAAGGCACCAACTCTTTTTTCGTCTTTCTTATTCATTTTCCAGCTTTCACACGCATGGTGATTGAAACTACTGTGGCTTGGGTTAGGCACGCCTCAGCCTTCAAAGTGCCATCTCCGCTCTTCAGCACTTTAAGGAGGTCTTTTGCAACACATTTGCCCAGGGCAATACGACATCTGATTTCTTGACTGCTGCTTCCAGGGTTGATTGTGGATCCAAGTAAATTGAAATACCTGTAATCTTCCCAGTCTGGAAGCTCTGCTGAAACCTGTTCACCATGGGTGACCTTGCTAGTATGTGAAATACTGGTGGCATAGCCTCCAGCCTCACAGTAACAAAGAAGCATCACAGTACAACAAACTGACAGGTGAGTGGTAGATGTTTGGCCTAAGAGTGGACAAAAGCCACAATTCAGTTCCTCCAGGAGATGAGATCTGAAAGGGAGAGGCTTTCACTAAAGAGAGGAAGTAGGGGGAACAGCACTCTTGAGAGAGGTACCAGTGGGAACAAAGCCAGGGGATAGAAAGAAGGGAGGTGAGGCCACTGTAGGGTGTAGAGTGCAGGGCTGGGCAGGGAGGGCAGGGCTTTGATTTGTGACTTAGCCAGTGCATACTAACATGCTCAATTACCTCGTGGTAGCATACAG